TCTGCAAAAATTGTCATTTATTTACCAAAAGTACACCTTTGCTTAGCTGTGTTACTCTAATCTTAGCTAGAATTTTATATACAGGGTTAAAAATATATTTTTTCTGAACCTCTTGTATGAACGGTATTTTTTAAAGGATAAAATAAACACCGATCTACGTATATTCCCAACTGCTGTAATAAACAAGCCACCGATGTCCGACTCGGCGCCGCAAAAAATGGGAATCGGCAAGTGCCTATACAAGGCATTCTCTTATTTGTTGATTGTTGCACGTAGAAAACTGTATTACAATATTTTTGTTTTGGGTATTTTGGGAATGCCACATTCAGAAACTCTATTTAAAAATGTATTCTTCTATAAGACACAGAAAGTCAAGCAAACGTATAGTAAGTAAACATAAAATTTTTCCTCTTTAAAAAAAAAAGCTTTTCAAATACTCGCCAATCAAAATGGAACACACTGCAGAATGACTAAAAAAAATTAATTCTAGAACAAGAGCAGATTGGTGTTTTGATCGGAGAAATAAATGCGAATAATGAAAATGTAAACAATGGATCAAAATACATTGAAGAAGATGAAGTTTCGAGATCTGGTAGAGCATCAGAGTATTTGGAATCTGAAGGCGAACAAAGCAAGCCAGATTCTGACAAACTCGAGGATCCTTGCGTTGTGCAAAAGGTAGATATTTTGGTGCACCATTCTTATTCTTATTGGCGCCATACTGCACATTTTATTGCTACTAAATATAAAAAACTATTTTCTACGATCGTGCAAATGTTAGAGATATCTCGTAGTTTCCATTATTTACGAATTAAAAGTTTAAATGGTAGTTTAAATTGTGATTTGTTTTTCTAGGCATGCTTTTCCGCCTTTTTTTGGATAGTTTCAGATCGTAACCAATCAGATATGGAAAGTGCTACTACACACGAAATATTAGGAACTTTAAATTAATAAAAATTAAAACAATTTTAAAATATCAATAATAGACAAGGTTTTTCTAGAATCTCGATTTCACTAACAAAAACAAGTATTTTTTTTTGTTCTATTTCTTAATATTTAGGCTATTTAATTGCGATAATACTTCAAACGTGCATTCACCATCTACAAATTCAATTAAGTTTTTTTTTAGCATTTAGCAAATTAACAAATTTAACAATTAGCAAATTAAGATGCCTTCAATTTAAAACTTCTACTGCACATAACGGAACCAAAATTTGGCTCAAATTTTAAAATCACTAAAATTTCTATTTTTACCGTTTGAAAAGTAGCCAATTAATTCAGTTACATGAATAATAATTATTTTCTTTTGTAGATACCGAATACCGATGAAGAAGAAGCGGCAACTTCCACTGGTTCTCGACAAAGCTTAAATAAAATCACTGAATCCAATCCATCACAAAATTTGGGAGTTTAAGCAAAATGGGGAAAGAAGGAAAGGAAATACAAAAATGGACTTTTGTATGTATTCTGAAAGCTATCTATTAAATTTTGCTTGACATGTATGTAGGTGCACATAGTATTGAAAATAGCGTGCAGAAAATTATCTCTTTGCCAGCTAGAGATCCTGAAATAAGAAAATTGTTGAATTTCTGAAGAAGAAAGGGCAACTTTTTAAATAGTAGCGTGAAAAAAAATCTAGCCAAAAAATATTACCCTGCACAAACTGTAAACGTTTTTTGCCTCAGAACAGCTTTAGCGTCACAGGAAAAAATGCATGGGAACATCGGATAAATTACACCAAGCGAAAGGACAAAATTTGCTTCTTGAGAATTGAGAAAAAAGGAAAGTCATTCATTTCTTTTCCAAACATATAAAAAAAAATGTTTCCCTGCCAAATAGTTTGAATGTTTAGCACTGAAAGAAAAATATACAGGACTGTTCGACAATAAAGACTGGTGAAAAATCAAAGCCTTCGTTCAAAATGAATATATAAAGAAAAGGAGTTTAAAGTAAAACCGCAACCTTTTTGTTTTCAAATGCTTTTATAGATGGATAGATCGCTGACGAAAGAAGTGTAAATTTTATTTTGTTTTGTCTCTAGTTTTAGTTTTTTTTTTTAATAAATAATGTATTTGTAGATCAGTACTAGTTTCAATAGTTAATGTGTGTGTGTGTGTGTTATGTGTGAAATCACAAGAATAAATATAATAACCAGAATAGACTAAGCGCTAATGAAAGAAAAAATGGAACATTTTTTTCTATTCTGCTACACATAACTTCAAGATATTGAAAAATATATTTAAAAATCCTTATGTGTACACCGAAATTCTTCTTCAAGTGATAAATTTTCGGAAATCCTCTGAATTCCACTTGATTCCCACGGAATGCCACATAATTCCTTTATAATTCTTTTTCTATAAGCATTCACATTAAACTAATAAGGAACAAAAATATGGTAGTTATCATTAAATAACACATAAATTTAAAAAATCAATTAGTACAATTACAAAATAGTGTATAAATTTGCCATCTAGGGTGGTCCGTAATTAATGCGCTAAAAAGCAATCGAAAGCGGTATTTTACTTGCGCGTGTGGATTAATTATTATAATATATTGTCTCAAAACGTTTGCCTAAAATTCAGATGTTTTAAATATATATGGAATTTTGTTTCCATCCTATACTCCGTTAGGACGATCCGCAAGTACGCGACTGGCACGACCGAGCGTTCTTTCGGCTTCCCGGCAAGCTGGACCTGTTCGGAAACGCAATTCACTATTAGTTTTTTCTCCCTTTTGCAATCGTCAATGAAGAAATGAACACATTCACATTGATACTAGCGTTGACTTGTATAAGTTAAAGTAAAAGATATTTTTTAAAACGGAACAAAAACTAACTTCACTGATTAATATGCCATAGGGATAGTAAAAATATTTGTTAGTAAATTGTACCTGGTATATACCCAAATCAAATTAATAATAGAAGTTAGTGACACAGCATTGTTGCCTATTTTTTGTGGAGATGAGTGATAAAATAGCGTTATTATAACTACCCACTTAACTGTACCTAAAGTTCTCTGCATATCATCTGAGAAACTGGAATATAATCTTATTCACCTTCTCGAAAAACCTCGGAATCCAAGTTTTCTTGTCGATATTTTAAAAATTGCTGTCGATAACTAAACTTTAAAACTCAGTGAGCGACATTTTCCTAGAGCACATTTGGCTCAAAATCATTATTTTGGCGAGTTTAAATTAGGATTGCCTTTTGGTGCATTCATTATGGGCCACCTTAGATAACTGAAACGTATCGAATTACTGAATCGTTCATTTCAAAAACTACTAAATCTACTAAATATACTAAATACTTATTCGCACCAACAAAACATTCAATTTTTTTTTGTCTAGTTTTTAGTGTTTCTTAAAAATTGTACTTTTCGATTGTTGTGTTGTTTGAAGTGAGCTATTCAACTATAAAAAGTAATGTTTATAAATCTAAACAGACTCCAAATAATGGATGTCCGAATTCCAGAATGAAAATTTTAATTAAAATTTAAAAATATTAAACCCGATTTACCGGTTTTCACGTTATATTTCTTAAGAACTTTTAATGGCCAGGGATGTTTTGGATGTAAGGAATGACAACAACGTCTAGTGTAGTGTTGCTTTCGGACTCTCACATTCAAAAAATTACTGATAACATATCAAGTTTTTAAGAAATATAAAGTCAAAACCAGATTTACCATATGTCCAAAAATCTCTTCTATGCGTCAAAGACCAAATTACGTTTGTTCATACCCTTCCTTCAATTCCTCCACCCCTCAAACAATATATAAGCAGGTATAGAGTAAATAAAATACGAGCCAGAGCCAGTTTCAGTTAAACTCGGAAGAAGCCAACATGATGTTGTAGTTTGTGGAATTTTCTTTGAAAAATTATTTATTTTTGCTAAATTTCATTTTCAACACTCTGTGGTTCTAAAACATTCAAACATTCTAAAAATGTTATACCGTTTTTCATCTTAAAATTCAACTCTTTCCTTTTGACAGACAGATTAGAAAAATTCGTAAAAAACAATTGAAATGCTTCCAAACAAAAAAATGAAAACATCCTACGGACTCGAAATACTCTGATCCACAATGTTATGCGGAGGGATTTTTTAATATATATATATATATATATATATATTATATATATATATATATATATATATATATATATATATATATATATATATATATATATATGACACTATATTCCGGGATATCATCCGTTCGCTCGTTGAACTCCGACTGGAATCCTGCATCCGACTGGAATCCTGCAAATCTTGCATCCGACTGGAATCCTGCAGACGTTTCGCCAAAATCTCACTTGGCATCTTCAATGCTCGCGTTCCGAAAACACTTCGAACACTGTTCGAAGTGTTTTCGGAACGCGAGCATTGAAGATGCCAAGTGAGATTTTGGCGAAACGTCTGCAGGATTCCAGTCGGATGCAAGATTTGCAGGATTCCAGTCGGATGCAGGATTCCAGTCGGAGTTCAACGAGCGAACGGATGATATCCCGGAATATAGTGTCATCACATTTTTCCATCCGTGAATCAATACGTGAGAATATATATATATATATATATATATATATATATATATATATATATATATATATATATATATATATATATATATATTATATATATATATATATATATATATATATATATATATATATATATATATATATATATATACACTTCGAACACTGGGTTTTCGGAGCGCGAGCATTGAAGATGCCAAGTGAGATTTTGGCGAAACGTCTGCAGGATTCCAGTCGGATGCAGGATTCCAGTCGGAGTTCAACGAGCGAACGGATGATATCCCGGAATATAGTGTCATCACATTTTTCCATCCGTGAATCAATACGTGAGAATATATATATATATATATATATATATATATATATATATATATATATATATATATATATATATATATATATATATATATATATATATATATATATATATATATATATATATATATATATATATATATATATATATATATAAATGTTCATTTACAATACATTAATCTATTTTTAATTATTAGTAGAATAACTAAAGCAAAAATTTCATTAACTGTAAATTCTAAACAAAATTTAAATCAGAAGCACTTGTTGACAATATGTTACTGTGCCTTATATTCTTTTTAAAAACTGATTACTGCTGGTTATTCTCTGCGAGGCTTCTTTATAACTTGTAATGTTGTTTTCACTACCACTGAAGATTAGAAGATTGAAGATCTGCCAGGAACTGTTGTAGAGGTATTAGGTTCGGGAGGTTAACTGTTTTGTCCTCCCTATGTATTCCATCAATCTAGTGATAATATTCCTAGTAAATTCTACCCGTTCTAGTCTTCCCTATATTGTTTTTGATGCCTGTGTAGATTTTTTTCAGGTCTTTCCATATCCTGTCCAACATTTCCTCAGTTTAGTGAAAACACATTCTGCAAATAACTTAAAATTGCATCTCTATTTCATGTGAGTGTAATTTGCGTTTCAAAAAGATTACCGTTTGTTTGAAAAAAAGACATACCTTGATACGATCTTCGAAAACTAGAGGGGTTTTCGACAAAACTTTCCCGTTGGGAGCCTGAAAAATATTTTTTTTTGTAAATACTAATAATAATATAACTAATAACAAATAAAATATATTTATTATGTTGGAATTTCGTACTCACCATAACTGTCCAATACACCCTTACCAAATTCCTCTTTCAAGACTAAATTCTGCCAATACCGATCACTACGCTACCTCTACCTAGCACAAAATATACTCGCTACTAAAAATGGCGTCCACCCAAATTGGATTTGTAGCGCATGTGCCACCAGATGTTTCCGCTGCGGCATGGTAAAAACAAATGTCCAATACGCTCCCAAGTAGTGTTGTGTCAAACGTTCATTTTACGAAAACCGAATCAATCAGTTACCGATTTCGAAAAGGACTGAATCATTTCAATCAATCGTTCATATCAATACTTTTTGATGCCAACATATCCGAACAGTCCGAACTACCGATTCAGATTCATTTGAATTTGAATTATTGTTGTCTCTATATGTTATGCTTTCTGTTCTAGTTAGTATAATATTTAGCTGTGTTCTGCTTTTATTGAATCATGATTTTACCAAAATAGTTGCTACGTATTAATTTGTTTAAATTAAATATCTGTGTGGAAATAGATATTTCATTCAATATTCAATTCAACACATCAGCAAATCTACAGATTAATGTCGCAACTCAATACTATAGAATTATTATAACTTTTCCGTGACCTGTCTCAGTCATGCATTTAAATCTTAAATCATTCAAATGAATCGTATTCCGGCGAATTCGGCCCGTTGATCGGTCATCCTATATTCGGTCACTTCAGATGGTCAGGGCAGTAGGGAGAGCGAACAAGGTGCTCGAATTGTTACGAACAAGCGGGATTCGGTCGTTCGATCCCATGAAGTGATAGTATCAAAGTGACCGATCAATCGCGTTTGACACAAGTCTACTCCCAAGTCCCAATCGCAATCACTACCGCTACATATCGGGAGCGCTTTGCTACGTCCGCTGAAGGCGAACTCTGTTGCCATAGATGTGACGTATAAGGGTTTCTAAGTTCTAGCTCTTAAAGAATATACATCATAGCTTGGTGGTTTATCACTTGCAAAGGTTTTAAAATTTGATATATGTATGGTTTCTTCAGAGCCAATTAGCGAGTTTCTCCAATTTGCTATAAGTGGTGCTAAAGCAAAAAAAAAATAAAACTTGTCTCTTGCTAAAACGAATTACTTATTTGTGGTCTTAACCCAAGGAAAAAATGAGTGACATCAAATCGTTTTTGCATCAGTATTGTCAAAAAAATAAAGTTGAGCCTAATTTTGAAGTGCGACCCACTGGTAAGTTACAAAAAGACACACCAGAAGGTTATCGCAATCCTTTCTATTTCTCCCTTTGATTTTAGGTCCAAAACATAGACAGAGATTTCTATGTGAAGTCAGGATTAGTGGTTACAACTATGTTGGGGCTGGCAATTCTACAAATAAAAAAGATGCTCAAAGCAATGCTGCTAAAGATTTTGTGTCTTATTTGGTACGACAAGGTTTGGTGAATCAGAATGATGTTCCCCTCGACTTGGATGCTGCACCTATTCAAACAACCAGGGAGCCTTCAATGGATTCAAGTTTCAACAAACCTCAACATTCAGTCTTTGGAGAGGGAATGGGACCAGCTAATTTTGGAGAAGCGTATAGACCAAGGGATGCAGGTGAAGGAAGTAACTGGCATTACATGGATAGAGCACAAGAGCAAAAACACATGGAAGAAGCAGAGGACCTTGATGTCAATGCTCAGATTCATGGTAATTGGACTGTAGAGAATGCAAAATCAAAACTTCATCAATTCATGCAGCTGAATAAGATCAATACAGATTATAAGTACACACAAGTTGGTCCAGATCATGCCAGGTTAGTGGTAGTATGACTTATTTATTAAATTAGTAGGTTTTTTATACAGTAATAAAAAAGATAGCATAAAAAGTATACACTTTTAGCAGAAAGATTAACTTCTCAGTAACAGAGTTTATTACTAGACACTATTTGCTATGCTAATTATTTATTTATTAACCAACTTACAGAAATAAACAATTGTGGAAAGTAAATATCCATTTATAAGTAAAGTTAGAAATCATAGCATGGCAATTAGATCTGTAACAGTCAGTGGCATGTGCATGCCGAGGCAATAGTAAAATGTTTATGATTTGGCAATTTTTATCAAATATGACAAAACATAAGAGAATGTAAAGGGTAGTGCAAAGCGCCAAACCATACAAATAATCATTGCAAACTTAAAATTAATCTCGACATATGACTTTTAAATGGAAACACTCATATTTTGGATCCATTTGATAGAACTTTTTTCCGGACTTAAAAAATATATACAAAATACAGTAGAGGAAGAACTGGACAAAATTTATACATTGTTAAATAAAATTCAAAAAACTATCTGTAGAGATACAACTTGTACAGTGCTCAAACTGTCGACCTTTTTCGGTCTAATTTTTAAGTTGTTGAGATTTATCTATATTATATTAATGAAAAATTACATATTTTTTCATGTGCTGTAAAATGTTCATAGGTACAACTACGCAGCGTACCTCTGCACGGTATGTTTGTACCTCTGGACAAACATTAAAGAGGGACTAAATGAAAAATATATACTCTTTTAATTGGAAATTATAGATTAAATAATTAAAACCAAGTTTCAGAAGAAAAATTATTTGCAAAAAATGAACATTCATAACAATTTGTATTACTAACCTAAATTGTAAGTTCCACATTCTCAGTTGAAACTTATCAGTGCCATTTGCCTTTTCTAATCAGGCAAAACTTCTAATACTTCCGCATGAAGTATCGCGTAATTTTTTCCTTTAGAGTTCAACAAGGACATAATCACAACACACAAATTTCCATCTGAATGTCAGGTGAGTCTTCTTTCACACTTTGTCTCTCTTCATCGCTTTCTGACGGAGTTAAGGATTCTCTTTCATCTGATGAGCTGTCATCCAATGGACGTATTTTTCTTTTTACTTCTATCAAATTTTTTTCTGGTGTCCATGTCGAAATGAGTGTTTTTTCCTGTCTCTATCCTCCTATTATATGGAGAATTCCCTGTAACTGCAAATTCTTTGATGATATTCTGAGGCACAAATGCTTTTGAATACGCTTTTCCAACTATCGCGGCCATCTGAAAGAGGGTGAGTGGTTTTCCTGGATTTTGCAAAAACCAGTCATTTACGGCTTGGTTATAATAAGTTTTGTAGGGACCAAACACTGTTCTATCTAATGGTTGTAATTTATGAGTGTGTGGTGGAAACGTTAATAATTCCACACAATTGTCTTTAGCTAAGTCTATGAGTAGTCTCCTACGCCAAAAACGACACTTCTTTCTTTGTGAGTCCATATTGCATCTTGGGCCATCTAATAGACCGCACAGTGGCAATTAGATAACTGTAAACATACTTTGTCCATAGGTACATGCGTCCAGAGGTACAACACTCTCGCCTATGTATAATAGTCTTTTTTTCTGCAAATACATTTCAAAACAATGAAAAATCCAAGGACAGTTGTGGAAATAATTATTATGCTAGTGATTTATTTATTTTTATTTATTTATTCATTTCATTCATGGTTTTTCACATTGTTTTACTCTCTTAGAAAAACTCTCAGGCTAAATATAATGCAGCATCAAGTACATTGAATTAAGTACATGTATTATAAATAACGATGCCAGTTGATATATTTCTTGATATAGATCATGATAATTTGCGTTGTAAAGCATAATTGGAGCTACAGAATGTGACATACACTAACTCAAGAAGCTCTTCATATACCCACTTTAATGTTCCTTATGTCTCATTGGCACCAGGGATGTGCCATGGTAATGAAAAATATTCTGCCTTATTTCAGTTTGTGGAAAAATCTTTATGCTTTGGAATAAAACGCATTTTTAGCAAATTTGCCGATTTTCGTAAGCATGTTTATTTCATAGAACTAAAGTTTAAACATACTTATTATCCCCAAAAGAATATGTTGCTTTTAAAGCCAAGGTTTATTGATTATTTTTATATAACATTTTTTCCCCTATTTATTATGGTAAAATGGCGATTCAAGGTTTTTTCTAATTAAACAGCTGCTAAACGACTGAACGGATTTTAACAAACTTGATCTTGTATGGAAAAGCGTTCCTTGTTCCATCATCATCTTATATATGCATAATTGCAAAACAAAAATTTAGAAAAAAAAGTAGTACCTAGTGGGGTTAGTGAAAAGTATATTGATGTCTTCTTCCTAACTAAAAATATCAAAGTAAGAAAATTGCCATCTCATACAAGTATAATTACTTTGGTATTTATTGTTGAATATTTGTGTTTTTTCAAGAGTGAACAAATTTGATAATTTTATATTTCGAAATAAAAAAAAATTGTGTAGTGACCTATTAATTAATAGACAGAAGCAAGAGTAGTCTGAATATGAAGATTAGGCCAGGAGATTAAAAATAATTTCCTCGTTGGCTGTTACAGATTAGTTTGCTTTGTCAATTAGGTAATAGAAGTAATAACTGGTTAATTAATAGCATTTAGCCACGAAGCAAGGAAAATATTTTGTTCTTTCTACATAAGAAAAATACCTCCAAGTGTACTTTTATACTCACATTATATTCACAATTCTGTTCAGCGGTGTGAATAACAAAAAATAAATAATTAAAAACTTTCCTCAAAAATAAATTTTGCATAAAAATGATATTTCAATAATGAAAATATCCAATTTTATGCGACTTAACTAATTTTACCCCTGAGGAAGCTCAACGCAACCCAGAACTGTTGAGTGTTGATTTATTTATTTAACAATTTTCTTATGCTAAGAAAATTATTAAATAGTATTTGATTAATTTGTGCAGTAGAATGGTTGTTTTAGTTTCCTTGATTGACATGAATGAGATGTAGTTTCTTGAGCCGTCTTGTGTATATTTTCTGAGAATTCTCTTGGGTATTTGGTCTCTCGAAAACAAATAACATAATTTCTTTAAATATCTTTTTCCAAATATTCTTATTTTGTATAAGTGACATATATAACAATTGATGACATTTAGTTAGTATATTAGGCAACAAGTAGATGGCATTTGACACGAGCTGAGCGAGTGTTTAATAAACGACTGATTTAAAAAGTTGCCGAATATGTTACATATTATACTTTTTCTATGACCGTTAGTTTTTGGGTACATTTTCGCCAAACAACACGAATACATTCACTGACATGACTGTCAGAATTGACAAACGTCAAAATTCAAAGCGTGAGAAATATCTCCGAAAACATCCGATTCCTTCCAATCCGGTGCGGTTAAATCTCGGAAATGTCCAAAGTGGCTCGGATCCGTGGGAAACGAAACTAACGTGGTAAAGTGGCGCTTCCCGCGCGCTAGATCGGTGTGTAATTAGGCATTTTACAGATGGGAGTAGAAAAACATAATTTGTCAGCAAATATTTTATGCCGATTGGAATGGCATGCAAAGCAGAATATAGACCAATTGAAAAAGCTTAACGCACACTTCTAGAAAATAATTATTCCAAAAACTTAATTAATAATATCTTTAGTAAACGTACCAACAAATTTTATAATAACGTAAACAAAGCCAACATCAAAATCCTCATAGCAAATATATATCACTACCATATATACCTGGGTTATCAGAAAAACTCCAGACCATTTTCAAAGAACAAAATTGAAATCCGACACAAAAGTTATAATTTACAAAAAACATATCTATTCACAATGTGTATATAGGACAAACAAGGCAGTATTTAAAAAATAGAATCATAAATATGACGAAAAAAATAAAACACACATTTAATTTTCAAAAAGTTAAACTTCTATTAATAGAACCTAACACCAAAAAAAGAGAACTTTATGAAAATATAGAAATCCAAAAAAAACAAAAAAATCAATAACTAACAAAATTAAATTATCCAATATATAATAATAATAAAAATTATCCGTATCTGCTTTGCATGCTATTCCAATCCGCATAAAATATTTGCTGACAAATTATATTTACTTTAAATATGTAATATATTAACGCAACGTCAAATGTCACTATACAAAATAAGAATATTGTGAAAAAGATCGAAATATATATATATATATATATATATATATATATATATATATATATATATATATATATATATATATATATATATATATATATATATATATATATATATATATATATTCGTGTGTAAATTGTGGTTATTTTACTTGGGAACATAATGACCATTCTTAAGGCATCATGTGCTGAAAATTGTGTGTGATGGTCAGAAAAAAACCCTTGACCTTTGCACTCAATATTTTCGCCGAAAAGTTTTTAACAGTTCTTGGTTTTAGCTGTTATTTTTCTCTCAGGGGCCGAGACGACGCAAAATATTTTCTTTCGCACAAAAGTGAGTATTTCAAAAATGTTTTCTTCCCTGCCGGCTACACTGTACATTTCTCGAATTTAGGACTTTCGTAGCAGAAATCAGCTTCTATGTGAAGCAATTAGGTCGAGTAATACACGGGCGTGACGGAGGTTCAAATAAACAGTCAGCAAGCAAGAGCTGCGCTCTTTCTGTGGTTAGACAGCTGTTCCATCTAGGTGTTATTGAAGCGTTTTCCGGCACATTAAAAAAGCAAAAAACGGCAGCTGAAATGCCGCCTTTCCAAGTAAAACTGTCACCTCAACTGGAAAACCAAATCGATGAGATTTTACAAGAATTATCCATTGATGCTACAGAGGTGAAAACTTTGAAGTCTGATCAGCCAGTTTCCCTATTGAGTAGTCATGTCTTGGATGATTTTCACCCTTCCAAGCCTACTGAAGCGGGAGTAGTTCCATGGTCGCCGCCTCAGCAGAATTGGAATCCTTGGACGGCCTGTAATATTGACGAAGGATTTTTGGCAACTGCTACATTAGATGAGATTAGTGAACATTTGCTTGAAGAGGCCAAGCTCAAGCAGACCAGTGATACCAAACTACAGCAAAATAACATTGATAGACAGCGCTTACCAGTATTTGCCATGAAAGGTAAACTTATGGAAGCAATAAATGAACATCCTGTAGTTATTATCAGAGGAAATACAGGATGTGGCAAGACCACCCAAGTATGCCAATACATCCTTGAGGATTACATTATGTCTGGTCAGGGAGCATATTGCAGCATTGTTGTTACACAACCGCGTCGTATTTCGGCTGTTTCAGTATCGGAGCGAGTGGCCAACGAAAGAGCCGAAGAATTAGGACAATCTGTTGGTTACTCTGTCCGATTCGAGTCAGTATTACCCAAACCTTATGGATCAATTTTATTCTGCACGGTTGGTGTCCTGCTTAAAAAACTAGAAAATGGCCTCAGGGGCGTAAGTCATGTGATTGTGGACGAAATTCACGAACGTGATGTTAACAGCGACTTTATTATGGTAGTTTTGAGAGATATGATTCACACATATCCTGACCTAAGGGTTATTCTAATGTCCGCCACCATTGACACTACTTTGTTCTCCAAATACTTTAACAACTGCCCGGTGCTGGAAATTGAGGGACGCGCGTTTCCAGTGAAGCAGTATTTCCTTGAGGATTGTATTGAGTTGACTGGTTTTGTGCCTTCAATGGAGACAAAGAAACGCAAAAGTGGAAAAAAAGACGACGGCGAGGGCGACGAAGACACATTAGTCAGCGAGGATAGTGACGAAAACTTAAACAAGGTCATTGCCAACAACTACAGCATCCAAACTAAGAACTCGATGGCGCGTCTCAGCGAGAAAGAAATTAGCTTTGAGCTTCTTGAGGCCATACTTCAATATATTAAATGTCAGGATATTCCCGGTGCCGTACTGGTGTTCTTACCTGGTTGGAATCTCATTTTTGCGATGATGAAGCATCTACAACAGCATCCTGTATTTGGAGGGTCCAAATATTGTGTGCTACCGTTGCATTCTCAGATACCACGCGAAGATCAAAGAAAGGTTTTCTTGCCTGTCCCACCTAGTGTTACCAAGGTTCATCTCTTATAATTTTTTTTTTATATCTCTTAGAGTAACTATCCGTATGTTTTAGGTTATTCTTGCAACCAATATAGCAGAAACTTCTATAACTATCGACGATGTTGTATTTGTTGTTGATAGTTGTAAGGCAAAAATGAAAATGTTTACTTCCCATAATAACATGACTAGTTATGCCACTGTGTGGGCATCAAAAACCAACTTGGAACAAAGGAAAGGTCGCGCCGGGCGGGTTAGACCAGGCATTTGCTTTCACTTATGCTCCAAATCTCGATTTGAAAAATTGGATGAACATATGACACCAGAAATGTTCCGGACGCCATTGCATGAGCTAGCGCTTAGCATAAAACTTTTAAGGTTAGGTTCGATAGGCCATTTCTTGTCAAAAGCCATTGAACCTCCCCCGTTGGATGCGGTTATCGAAGCTGAAGTGTTGTTGCGCGAAATGAAATGTTTGGACAAAAATGATGAAATGACACCATTGGGTCGTATAATAGCCAAAATGCCAATTGAACCTCGTCTGGGAAAAATGATGATTCTTGGGTGTATTTTCATGTGTGGAGGTCCGTTGGCGACTATGGCTGCCAATTCATCAACCTTTCCTGAAATATTTACCATGGATATGGGTCAAAGACGCCTCAGCTATCATCAAAAGGCTCTCTCTGGCGATCGGCATTCTGACCATGTTGCCATGCTGACTGCATTTGAGGTATGGTATCATTTTATTTTCAAGTTTTCAAAAAAAAAAAATACTTACAACAAGGTGAACAAAAATTATTATTGTAGAAACAAAATTTAATCATTTCAACATGGTTTGGTTAGGTATGTTGTTCACATGACTGCTTATACTATTTCAGCTCTGGGATCAGGCGAGACAGGGCGGCGAGGACGCAGAGGTCCGTTTCTGCGACTATAAAGGAATCAGTTTGCCCACAATGCGGATCACTTGGGAAGCCAAACACCAGCTTCAACAAATACTGAGCAATTGTGGTTTTCCAGAGGAAACTATGGCGCCATTGCCAATGGAGACAGTTGGACCAGACCCCAAACTAGATGTGATTATGGCGCTTATGTGTTATGGACTCTATCCAAATGTCTGCTTTCATAAGGAAAAGAGGAAGGTGTTGACGACAGAAAGCAAAGCGGCGCTGATACATAAAACTTCTGTCAACTGCAGTAACTATGTGCAAAATTTTCCATATCCCTTTTTTGTGTTTGGTGAGAAAATTCGTACAAGAGCAGTTTCTTGTAAACAGATGTCAATGGTCACTCCTATTCACTTGTTGCTATTTGGTTCCCGGAAGGTAGATTGGGTAGATGAAGTGGTCCGGTTAGACAATTGGATTAATTTGGACATGGATCCCTTGGTAGCGTCAAAATTAGTGGCCCTGCGACCGGCCTTGGAAAGCCTTGTAATCAGAGCATCACAAGATCCTGAGCAAATCATGCAAATGAATGAATTAGACAAAAAGGTGGTCGCCATTATAAAAGAATTATGCAAGTTGCATGCAGGGAGTTTTGGAATACAAAGAGATAAGGCTGCTGTGGAAAACATGGTGATGGGCAAACGTCCACCAAGGGGCCACTCACTAGGATTTTCAGGCCCTCCTCCGAAAATGTTTCGCGGTAGTCGGGGAGGGATGTATGATGGCGGTAACGGAGGTGGCAGTGGATTCCGAGATCGAGGTGGTTACTTTGGAGGTCCAAGAAGTAGAAGTAGTGGTTATGAGGGAAGAGGTTTTGGTGGGAGAGGAGGAATGGGCCGAGGCTTTAGGGGAAACAGAGGCAGAGGTGGTGGATTCAGGGGTGGATATTATTAGTTATTTAATTTAAATTTATGTATGTTAGTTTATGTGACATTTAGATTTTTGACTTTAAAATGAAATACATAACATCAACCCTAGTAGTTATTATTCGTGACTTGACCATCCCCCGTCCCCCGGGGGAGATTTTGTGATTGCAAATTTACAGATTCCCAAGCAACCGAAAAAAAAAAAATTAGTTTGACCATTCTACGAGAGATGTCGCCACCCATTAAGAGCTCAGGTTTCGATCGCCAGATGTCACCCTTAATGGGGGGGGGGGTAGTTTTCGCGTTAGTGCCTTTTTGGCAATTTCGCCCCGCTAGGGGTAGTTTTTGCGTTAGTGCCTTTTTGTTTTGACGTATTTTTGCGCGAGGTGAAAAAAGCGACCGGTGTGTCGCGCGCGGTCGGGGGATTCGAACCTCGAACCCCGCGCGCTACGTTAGTCGAGCCTAGCCGAGCCTAGCCGACGACGATTTCGCGGCGGCGGCGACGATAAGAGAATTCAACTAATAAAAGGTCGTCGAGGTAGTATTGACATCCGATATGTTTAAAATGCGCGAATTCAATAAACACATTTTTATTAACTTACAATGTATCTGATAACGATAAAAACATTATACGTAAATAAAGCATTGATATTCCATACTTGCTAATGTGATGTTGTAATGTTTAAATTCATCTAGTGTGACCCCGAGGTTAGCTACTTTGTGCGAAATTGCATTGTTCTGTTTCCGCATAAATATAATAAAAGGTCGTCGAGGTCGCGTAAAATATAATTAAATTAAATAAATGTGCACCGATAAAATTTATGATGTAACATTTTTATGAAATATCGCTAACAAATGGCAAGTTGAGTTAGCTAGGTCCCTTTTTTGACTTAAAGTAAGTTGGTGGTGTATGTTGTTTTGCGGTCAGACAGAAACAAATTATAGACCAGTATATGTTTAGGAATTAAATGAAAAATGACATAAACCAAATACGTGTTACTAATAGAATTATTTATTGATTACATATATTTACATCTCGGTTATGTATATTTACATCTCGGTATAAATTCATAGCTTTAAAAAGACTGTGCCTTTTTGACATAATTTTTTCAATATCTTCTCTTTCGAGAAAAATTTGCGACCGTCCATTTTTTAATAGCCTCAAATCACAAAGCTCTTCTTCGTTCCAATACATCACCTCGATGTCGTCACCGATGTGAAACGTCGTTCCACTTTAGATGTTCTCCTACTTCTTCGTTTAGAAAATTGAGAAAATCCAAGAACTCTTTTGGTTGAAAATCCATATGTTCGTCCCTGCTGGTGAAACGAACGCCAGTGTTGTAAATTTCAAACAGCATATTTTCGTCAATCCTAACAACATCAGTGGCCATTTTAATTTTTTTTTTTTGCTGCGTTAAGTACACTTTTCGAGTCACAGTCGATTTAAGAGTTTTGGAATATATGCGAACAATTTATACATCCACATATCCCTACTTGCGAAGATGGGCGGAGCAATGAATTTTTGTCAACTTGTATAAGCACTTTGATAGTAATAGAAAACAAGCACCCGTAACTAGATACAGTAGAATCAAAACCTTTTGGAGGTCTGTCCCAAAATTTTTCTCCTTATCACTACGATAGCTGCTATTATTGAAAGCAATCGTTTACCATTCGCCGTGGTCGCCGAAACTGCGATCAAAGAAAACCAAACGGACTTTGTAATTTAGATACTGAGCGGTAACGTTTGGTAACCTTGCTCCAAAAATGTGTAGCTTATCGTTACCGTTAACTGTCATGGGATACAGCTGACTCCATTCTTCCGGCCAAACGCCACTGATATTGTTATTTTTAAAACAAACGTACGCTTCGATAACCCCATTGGGTTTATTTAAGTAGAACATATTTTGCACTACCGCTGTTAATAAAACATATTGAGCACTTAACAAAGCCATGTTTCTCACTATATTGAGGCGATTTAAATCAATGAACTACTTTTTATAACACTCAAACAAAGTGGACATTTATTTTGTGGAGGCACGGGTCCGTCGATATGAGTTCTACTATCCGATCGATTATAGTGAATAAAACAAGGCAAATGAGTCTGCAGGTCGAAATTGTTTTTCTGCTTGTCGGATAACCTATGCCACATAGCCAGCAAGTCGTAGGATTTCACGTATTTGATTAGGTATTCCGCGGGAAGCTCATCGACGTTGCTTATGGGGCGATTCATCACTTAACACTTGAGAATTAATTTTGATTTGCTCGCTTTGCGTTAGTCTGTTTTATATGTTGCCGCACAAAATAAAATTGCAAATTTTGAAAGCACATCTTTTTATTGTCATTTTCATATAGGAATTTTAGCATATAACCAATTGAATAATAATACAGAGTTTCGTAAGGCACACATGCGTAATCCACCATTCATATGAAAGGTGCACTGAGGTCAATCCAATTCAAATTTGAGCGGTATCAGCCAACTGTCGTCGAATTTTTCGATATTAACAATCAAAGGAAGGTGTAGCTGTAGTTGTTGGATCTTCGAAGTCAAAAAATCAATTTTCGGTTGCCCTCTGAGGTCCGCGGTTTCAACCAAACGCCTAACCAATTCGTCGATAAAGTTATAGTCTATAAGACCTGTACTATATTTTAATCCGTGGTGAAAACGCTCGAGCCAACGTACGCTTCGCTTATCAGCATGAGTCAACGTTAAAAAATCTCTCGGCGGCTTCATTATGTAGTGGGCCATTTGATTTCCGTCGTAAATTGCAATTTCTTTAGCGACGAAACCTTCACCGTCCTTCAGATTAAACCCTTGTATATCTAGTGCCACGATCCGCATGATGACAACTGTCAAAAATGTACTGTTTCGCCTGATATTTATGGCAAATTTTTTGAACATCTGCGAATCGGGTTTTTAAAATCCGTTACATTTGTTTTACTATTTTAGTAAGCGGATTGTAACTAAATACTTTGTCATGTAAAATGAGACAATAAACCGATGTATCCTTCTTGATATTAGCGCTAGTTTCAAATTCAATTCGCATTACCACGGAACCAGTTTGTAGAGACTCTCTTTGATGAGAACAATCGATGTGTGTAATGGGACATTTTTCTTTGAAATGCTGCGGTGTGAAAATTGGCTCATTGGACATCCCGTAATAAGAGTGTCTAAAATTAGCAAACATATCATACAGAGTCGAATACTTGTTTTCTTTAAAATTTAGGTTTAAATCATGGTACGGATATCGTTCCGAATTTAAAAATACTTTTATATTAGTTAAATCGACGTCATCAAATTGACTCATATCCTTTTCTACTCGACCTTTCCTATTTTCGTGGAAGGCGATAATGATATGACGCGGAGTTTCTAGTTTATTTGATGTTTTCACGGGCCACGTGTGAGTTGTGGTTTCAGGCAGAGATGAATATTCAATAATTTCCCAAGATCTGAAACCGATTGTTATCTCTTTATTAGACTCCATGATTTTCGTTAAAACAAGTTCTTCTGCAATATTTGTCATTATTTTTGGGATTTTCCAATATATCTTTTTAAGCGAAACTTTAGGTATTTCGGGAGTTGTGGTTTTTGGTTCATTGTCGTCTAAAAAAAGGACCGCATCTAAATCGTTGCTGGCTCGTATTAAAACTAACTCTTGCTTCATATTCAATACAATTTTTTGATAATCTTCGAAGAATCCTGATAGCATTTTCAACGGAATAGAGATGTTAAATTTTCCGTGATCGTCGACCATAATTCTGTCACTTGCATTTCGATTTGGAAACCATCCTGCATTTTGAAGTTTTATACTTTCGTTGGTATTATAGGAAAGATATGCTTTGAATGTTGATGCCAAACCAACGTTCCTGACTGCGTCCAAGGTGACGCCATTAAGTTCGTACCGGATCTCTCTAAAGAGAAAAGCAATTCCATTGTTAATAAACCTTAATTTTCCAGTGTACTTGTCATCTTCATTAGTAAGGACTCCCTCGATGTACAACACACTTTCACAGGGTAAAGTGAAGGAATCTAGTTCCTGAATTGGTATGCGTATTTCATCGTTATAGTCGAATTTTGAAGACACGAATGGTTGATAAGTATGAAACTCTGAACTTACGATGGAGTTGTCGATATAGAGTTTTTCGTTAACATTTAAAATTGTCATTTTAAGAGCACTTGGAATCCTAATGATTTCAAAAAGGTGCGGTTTGTACGTGTTAAACGTTGGCCGTTTCTAATGGCACTGGATTTGCAAACAATATTTCTCTTTTTATAGTTTTTTTTTTGTGATTGTACTGTAACCACTGATGGTTCTCTTATAAAAGTCCTGTTATATCTGGTAACCATTATTGCTTTTTTAAATGCAACCTCACTGTTATCGTTTTGTTTCTAAAATTAATAAGATCTCCGTCTTAGTCGATGATTTTTATAGTGATATTATTAATTGTCTTAACACTGATTGGAGAATAAAGTATAGGTAGGGGCGACTCGACTATTTTATACCCAGGAGCTACAGCCGGAAAAAACTGATGTATTATGTGAACCGGTTTACCATTACTGTATGAGCCAACACATATATTACAATCGACGCAAATAGCATTGACTTTATTAATATTTACTACTTTATCCGACTGTTCTGTAGTCGATGCTTCAACTACTCGCTTTTTAAATCCAAGCAGTCGACCTATGGAATCATTCGAGGAAAAGTCAATTCGTTTAGAACAAAAAATTGAACTCTTTAAAGTGTTGGAATTTGATTCCAGAATAAAATCGACCTTCTCTTTAAATATCTTTTTCACTTGGTTTTTGACGTATTTCTCGATATCTGTTAAATCGTACGTTCCCTCTGGAATAGTTATAACTTTCTCTCCTATATGTAACTTGTTATTACCGGGTTCAATATTTGGTATGCTCATGTACGTCTCGAAATCTGCTAGTCCCAAAAAGTATTCCTTATCATCATCTAAATAAATTGGCGGATTGAAATCGGCGGATAATATAGAAGTTTTCCCACTTATGGAAATCGTAGTGGACATTACGAATCTAAATTAATCACTGACGTTTCACTTTAACGGCATGTTATTATATAGAAATTTTAGTGACAGATGTCCGCAATTGTAA